CTCTCTCTCTAAATTCGGGTGCGTGCCCTCTCTCTTTTTATTCAGCACCTCGTCATCCAAAAATCCTAGAGCTGGACTCTTTGTCTTGTCCAGTATAATTTCTCTGATTGGTCCCGATGCCGGCGCAGTGTTACACCACCTCAAAATTTATGGGTTTAGTGAACTTTTTAACGCGGGAACTTTTTTGACACACCCCACCAAAAGGAATTTCACCACATCCGGTAAGGGGGGGGGGAATTCCAAATAAAAATTCCAAGCCGTTTCAGGGGCGAATTCTAAAACAGGAACAAATCTGGCATCCCATCAAATTTTAAAATTTGACTAGAGTCTTGAAAACTGTCATGAAATTATTCTTGTCACGTTGTTAACAGATGTTTATATTCTTTAGTACTTAGAACAGAGGAAGGATTCATACATTTGTAACATTCTGTTTTTAAATAACATATGAAATTTTTAAACTCAACCGCCGAAGTTTAAAAAAAAAACGAATATAATGTTAAAATTTAGTTAATTTTTTTATTTCAAAATATCCATTATTTATATATATTCGTGACTTACTTTTAAAACACAAATCATATTTAAATCATACTTAAAATATTTTTGTAAAAAAATATTTTAAATAAAGTTATGTAATTAAAATGCTTTTAAGAAAACATCTAGTACGAGGCTTTTGATGCATATTTTTAGATACAGAACAAATATTGAAATATTGTTAGGCTTCATACCATTAACATATGTGGCGTACTAAAGAGTAGCTTAGAAATCAACAAACTTAAAATATTTAACAAAAATATATCTCAGTGCTTTCGTCCATGTGGTTTTTTAAAATATAATCCTCCTCTCCTGTTAAAAGATCTGATTATTATATAATTAACAACAATAATTATAACATTTTCTTGTAAAATAAATTGAACAACTGAAAAATAAAACTGTTTGTAACTAAATATAATATTTCCAAAAATACTATTTATTAGTCTACTTTTAGATTTTAACTATATTATTTCTAATTTTATCTCTACCTATTTCACAGCTTGGGGCAGCCTATTGGTCAAGGTAACGCGGCGTGTCATGTGTTCGAACCTAGTACCTCTGAAGAGCTGCTGTGCAGAGGGGCAGATGCACGTTAAATATGCCGAGGCTGAAACGTCCTTCCGTGGGTGTGGTGTGGAATTTAGGAGAGGGTGTTGTCGGCTCGTCACTTGACCATGGTTCAAAATGACGAGGTCCGTCGCCAAAAGCTCTCGAGTAGTTGAATAATGCGACGTTAATATTCACTCATAGCCTTGGTAGCCAAGTGGTCAGGGTTGTCAACTCGTGACTGCTGTTGCCCAATCGGATCTTCAAAACCTCTTACTGCCAAAGATTCGCTGTGTAGAGAGACTTATGCAAATTTAATATATTTAGGCTCAAAGTCCTCCCATTGACGTTTGGTGAGGGAGATACCAGCTAAAGTGCCGTCCTTGTCACTTGACTTTGGCTCCAGTTTACGAGGTCTATCTCCAATATACCTCGTGATCCTTCACATATTGTGACTTAAATTAAATTCTATAAAAAATAAACGTTTCTTCAATCTTTATAAAGTAAAGTTAATAATATAATTTGTATGTAATTTGGACTGCATAATTATACACATCAGTTTCTATAATATGTGTTAAAGTGATTATAAAAAAAACTATGATAAAAATTACTTAGAATTTTAAAAGCTTTCTTTTTTCAATATTCCTTTTCACGCATATTTTTAGATGAACGCACAAACAGATTTAATAGATAATTTTACAATATAGTACACACATGTACACATTTTATAGATTACTCATTTACGAAACTATGAACACTTATAAAAATCTTGTATTCGTATATTTTTGTACAGACATTAAAGTTAAAGGTTTTTATTGCAGCATTAATTTGAAATTACCGTATTTAATCGAATCTAAGCCGCACTATTTTTCCAGTGTTAATGATACCGAAAATAGGGTGCGGCTTAGGATCGAAGTCAAAACATTTGTTGAACGGGGGAAATTGAGTTTCCAACCCTTTCAAAAGGAAAATGCAACCGTCCATTCTGGCTACTTGCATCGATGACTTATCCCTTTCGGCAATTTATCTCCATTATTCAGTGTATCCTAAACATCGTTGCCTGCTCGTATTTAGGAATTTATTTTGTATACGCTTTCTTTTAATCAACTTAATTGCAAAACTATCAGAAATAGCATCAAGGCGAGTTCACTATGACGCAAGTGATATGCAGAAAAAAACGGAAACAAATCAACGTGTTTGGTTCACAAGAAAAACCTCAGTTTACTCAAGAAAGAGTCTCTCTCAGTTCAGTGGACTGTTATTTATTCATCTCTGGTGCTCAGCATGCTCCATTTGACTCCTTTCTCCATCAAGTCATAGGTTACACACTGAGTAGTATAACACCCTGAGCGCTAGAGGGCGCTCTACATTTATATACGTACGCTGAACACAGCGGCCATTGAAGATTTGACACGGATGAAACAAATATACGTCAACGGCGTAAGACAAATAATATAATTTTTTCTTGTAGATGTTCAAGAGTCTTTAATTATTGTTTTACATTCTTCTATAATACATCCTTTAAAAAAAAATGCTTCTTAACAAATGCATTGGATGGCACGGAAGATAACACAGTGCGGGAAAATGGTGATTTCGGCACCAATTCCAAAATCAGTTGTGACTGTTCGTGAGTGTCACGAGTTTAAATAATTTGACGGACCAAGTCTTTCGACTAAAATTTTAATAAAAACAAAAAAGTAACATGAGTTATTGTGGGTTTCGTTGCAAAGCAGTTATTACCCACGTCAGTAATTGCCGAAAATCCTTCAGCTTCTGCCGAATATTCCATACGGACGGCAGGCGTCATTACGCATGCGTCATACACGCAAGCGTCAACAGTGACAATGGGAGCGACGACTCCTTTTCGAAACATGATACTGAAGGTTAGACTCATTATAGGTTCACGTATGTATTTGAAAGTTTTTGGGATATTGGTAAAACAACAAAATTCTTAACTTCTTGTTTCTCTCATTAAATTTTTTAAAAATTCCCCAAGTATCGTATATCACGATGAACCTTTTTACATAATTTTTTATTTTTCCTCAAAAACGTGCATAGAATCGGGAGTGTGGTTTAGAATCGATGACAACATTTTTTCACAAAAACATATTGAGAATTTGGGATCCGGCTTAGAATCGATGACAAAATTTTTCACAAAAACATATTGGGAATTTGGGATCCGGTTTAGAATCGATGACAACATTTTTTCACAAAAAGATATTGAGAATTTGGGATCCGGCTTAGAATCGATGGCGGCATAGACGAATAAATACCGTAATTAAGCTCTGATTTTCTCTGTTTGAAGAGAATATTAATTTTTGTTCGGAGGTATGTATTTCATAAGAAAATGCTACACATGCATTTTTTAGCAACTTTTACTTTAACTAAATGTAATTATTCAAACTACATTTTTACCTTCACATTTTATTCCCACGAGTTTCAGAAACATACACTTTTTTCGTGCTAATCTTATAATTAGTTCCTAACAGTAGACTATCCAAATAGAGAAATGTATTAAAATGATATCCTACTTGTAAAAAAAATCATGCCTGGTGAAATTGTGTAAGTAATTTGCAACTTGTATTAAATGCCGAACCAATTGTATTTTAATACCCTTTCTACAATTTTACCGTTATGTAACTGTTACTCTAGAACAATGTAATAATGAATTAATTGCAATAATGTTTCATTGTATTCAAAACATTTTAATGCTTTTGTCTTTATAGTTGCTTTCGAGTCCTTTCTTTATATCTAAGAAATCAAATGATAAAAAATGGACGCGGAAGGAGCGACGGCTTGGTACAATTGAACGTTGACCTTTGAACTGGAAAAAGTGATTCTTGCAGCAGATAGCAGACTTCCGCCAAAAGGGTGACAAAACCCGTCGAAAAAAAAGTGGAAAATAATGGTTACATGTAAACACCTTAGTCTTCCTTTCATCGCTGCAACTTTGGATAGTTCTTGTTGTACTCTTCTAATATTTTATTAATTTCTATTTATTTTTGGTATCTAACTACTTTCGATATCGCGAAATATTTTTTGACTGTTTAAAGTCAGTTGAATTAGAATATACAGTCGGACCCAGATTTAACGAACCCTTATTTGACCAATTTCGTGTTCTAACGAATTTTCTCTTTCCCCGATAAAAATAAAGGTAAAACCCCCTGTTTAACGAATAAAAAACCCAAAATTAACGAATCATTTCAACAGTTAAAATTTTTTTTTTTAGCCTGTATCAGAAAAAATTAGATTTTTTTTCAAATGATATCATTTTCAACCAGAACAAAAAAGGGATTTTCTTGTATCAAATTTCGACGGGATGGAGTCAAGACCATTATGAGACTTTACAGGTGCAGATGAGTCATGAGTGTAACCCATCATGTGAGTTTTGAATAGGACAGGAAACTCCTTTCTTATTTCATCCCACACCGTAACGCAAGGGATATTTTAAGATTTTAACGATTACGTTACATCTGATGACATACTGCCCATCGGTGCAATTGAATTTCGGGAAATTGTTGATTTGTCGAAGCCAATGAAAAGTGATTCTGATACGAAATTCCTATCAAAACCGTTACATTTTCTAATGCTTTACATTGTTTGAAAACTGAAAAAAATACCTTAAACGAGAGTAAAAAAATATTGCTTAAGTTCATTCCTACTTAGGTCAACAAACAAAAATTTTATTTTAGTTACTTTTTATTAAATAGCTACAATTAATATAAATATACATATACATATAACAGAATCACTCTGTTAAGTGTCAAAATAGAAAGCGATTTTCCTTACAATTTTCCATTTTCGTTTCTGTATAGGATGTCGTACTATTTTTTTGTTTAATACTGTTTATATTTATTAATTAAATTTAATTATTCTAACAAAATAGTACAGTCAACACGAAAACACATCCTCAGAAATTGGGCCATTCCAGTAGGGAGTCGAACCCCACTACTTTTGGATGAGAAGTCCAACGCGCTGTCCGTTGTGCAACAGGAACACAGCAAACAATTATCCTTTCTATATATGCTGTTGGACTATTATTTTTGCTACTATTTATCCATTTTTTAATTTAATTAATGAATGAATATTTGAAAAAATGTATTAACATCAAGTGTCATCCACTACAAGTTTTAAAAAAGTGTATTTGAACTTGAGTGGATGAAGAGAAAGTATTTTATTAGCGAAATTTGAACAAGATATATATATATATATATATATATATATATATATATATATATATATAATAAAATAGTATAATAGTAGGAATTGAAGAAAGAAGATGTAGATGACGCATTATTTTCTTCGCTGCATAAAGTCGAAAAGAGAACTCTTTCTTGTCAGGAATAAAAAAAAACTGTCAAATTTATCTATTGTTTAATATTTTAAAATTTCCAATTAACTGCTGCGTAATAATTCACTAATAGTATTTTTAGTTGTTGAATTAAAAGAGAGTTATTCCTAACCACGGATTCGATGTAACGAATAACCCGATTTAACGAACAAAATGCTCGGTCCCGATGAATTCGTTAAATTGGGGTCGGACTGTACATATAAACTGGTTTTAAGAATATTATTACAATAACAAATGATTTAATTGCAATTTTTTGGCAAAAAATGAAGAAAAAAGGACAGATTTTGAAAATATTCTCCGTCTATGGAAAATACTTCTATAATAAAACATTTAGCCTATATATTGCTAAAATTCTTTACAAAGACAACATTAGAATTTTTAAAAGAATCGTTTTATTTTCAGAGTTACTATCAATTGAAATAATAACTCGTTTTTTGTTGAAAATTCTCAACTCTCTGATGTACCATTCAGGAATAAGCTCACTTCTAAATTATGTACCTCAAAAGTTCCTACTCGGGCTTTGTACATAAGTCTTAAGGTATACATAGGCAAAATATTATTTTAGAAGTATTTTTAATAAAAGGGAAATCTTTTGAAAATGTCTTTTTTTTTCTTCATTTCTTTGCCAAAAAATTGGATTTAGGTAATTTGTTCTTGTAACATTATTCTTAAAAAAGTTTTAAAGCATACTTTATAATTATTCAAGTCACACACACACACTATATATATATATATATATATATATATATATATATATATATATATATATATATATATATAAAAATCTTTAGTACACTTTTGGAAAATCATGGTTCCGAATGTATAATAGTCATATACACTCAGGAACATTGAAAATAGCGACCCAAGAAGGAAGCTAAGTACAATCGCGAAACTTTGCAAATAAGTACAGCGTAATGTGATATGCAAATGATCCAAGTTTTGTGCCAATACGCATGCTCATACACGCCGAAGTGGCGCTACAATCAGGAAGAGGGGGCTATATAAGCCAGCGCAAATTCGAAGATTCATAAACGTGACGATTACCCGCCGATTGTAGGAAGATTTTGGTATGCGAAACATGTGCCAGGTAAACGTGCTAGAAGACATTTCTCACCGTTAAGTCAGTTTGAGAGAGATCATCGGGATGAAAACTGCAGGCTGGTCAACGCGCCGTGTTGCTGGCCAGGTGGATCGTTCGGAGTGTGCCGTTAGAAATTGTTGGAAGCAGTGGACACGAGAAGGTACCCACGCGCGGAAAACCGGGTTTGGGCGACCAGGATGACCACGAGGAGAGATGATCGTGCTGCACGCACTTGTGGTCCCCACAGTGACTCGTTCAACGGTACCAGCAGATGTAGGCGTAGCAATTCTTCCACAAACAATTTCCAGACCCCTTGCAGAAGCAAATCTTAAATCCAAGTGCCCTTTCCGTGCACTCCCTTTAACACTGGAACATCGGCAACTGCATCTACAGTGGTGCCAAGCCAGATCAATGTGGAATGTCACAGATTGGCAAAAGGATAATTTAGTGATTAATCCCGGTTTGTTTTGGTCACAGATGATAATCGTGTACGGGTGTGGAGGCGCCCTGATGAGCGGTACAATTCCCCCCACACTGTTCTACGTCACACTGCCCGCACAGCTGGTGTAATGGTCTGGGGGCCATAGCCTATGATAGCTGGTCCACTTTAATTGGGATGCGTGGAACCTTAACGGGCCAACGTTACGTTGATGATATTCTTCGACCCCATGGCCCCATGTCCTTTCCTAAATGGTCTTCCAGGGGCAATTTTCCAGCAAGATAATGTTCGTCCGCATACAGCAAGAGTTTCTCAAGAGTTTCTACGTCCTTTTCAGACTCTTCCATGGCCGGCCCGCTCACCTGATTTGTCTCCTGTAGAGCACGTGTGGGATCAGCTAAAACGGCAGATGCCATCGTGTCACTCTGTACATGATTTAGCTTCAGGATCACATAAGGTGTCTAATCAACTCAATGCCGGACCGTGTGGTGGCATGTATTGCAGCTGCAGGGGGTCCAACGCGCTATTGAAGTTGCCCAGTATTTGTAACGTTGCACACCCTGTATTCGTTTAAGTGTTTTGTTTTTGAGATCAAGGGAATCTCTCTTCTGTGTCATTATGTGTATTAAATTTCAATTCAATCCGATGCTTTCTTCTTGGGTCGCTATTTTCAAAGTTCCTGAGTGTACCTTAATCATAGAGATTAAGAAGCTTTTTTTTAAATCAAAAATTTTTTGCTTCAAATGGGTTGCAAAAAAAAAAATCAGAAATGTAATAACTTACCCTTACAAATATTTATTTCCCCCTATTTTTATGATTATAAATTGTTCATTTCATTATATATATATATATATATATATAAAGTGTTTTTTAGTATATACAGAAAGTGGTTCGCACTTTCTGGAAATGGTTTTGTAAAGTTTTTTCTTGTTTACATTTTGAGATAAAATTTTAACAATTTCAGAATAGCCGTCTGCTAATATTTTATTTTGAATGGAATATAAAAAAAAAGATTTATTTTTTTTAAAATGGCTCCTAAAATTGAAAGGGAGCTCGAAGATTACGACATTGCACTTTTTGAGGAAAAAAAATCCGTATGAAAAAATTATAAAAGGGTGTAAAAATCCTGGTTATTGTATTTAAAAAAAAAAGAATTGTAATATATTAACTTTGAAGGAAATTAATAATAAAAGTAGACCAATTTACTATTGCTCAACTGTTGTTGTTTTTTATCCAAGATGATGTAGTTTAGCTGCACCATCTTCTTAAAACCAAAAGTCACCAAAAAATTCAAAAATAAAATAGGATTTCCCAAAACCTCGACAATAGTAAAACTCAAACAATTAAGAATATGCCTGGGAGAGGCCTGATCAACTTCGCACCTATGACCCTCTGGAAAGACTTTCCGGCCCTGTTCAAAATTAAGATTGGATGTGGCTACTAAAAAAGCGCGATAGAGCCATCTGCCGATCCATCCTTAGGAATATTAAGTTGGTGACACACCCACGAGGTTTTTCCCCAAAATACCAAGGGTGAGCAGGGGGTGTTCTCTAAAGTGCATTTAATTCTATCCTTTTAATAGAGGAGAGTGCGTTACTGCTCTACTAACGGAAATGACTGTACGAAATAACTTCATTAGTGCATTTAAAAGTTCCCAAAGAGATTCATGATAGTTGCAGGATTTTGCTACAACGGTAAAATAAAAAAAAAAATCTCAAGTAAAACCAATATTAATTCACTCTACTGTTCGCGGAATCTTTTAGAACCGATTTTTGAAGAAGAAATTCCAGTCTTATATGGAAAAGACATTGATAAAGTTGACCATCATATGTACAAAGCCTCCAATCACACATCTAAGTCAACTGCCGCTTATTTACGCGTGGCAAAGAAAGAATGTGAAACAGGAATAAAGTGCATCCCATTTAAAGAAATACATCTAAAATCACCTGACGCTTCTCCAATGGACTTTTGTGTTTTTGGTTTATTAAAACGATCCTCAGGAAAACGGCATTCAAGAACACATTGAACGGATTTAGAAAACGATTCAAAAGCAATAGAGTGAAATTGGCATGAGAGTACTTGAAAAAATTTACTTTCACCGAAAATTCAAGCTAGAGTTAATATCGAGAACCATGGCTATCATATAGATAGTAAGTCGCCCTCAAAATGCTACATTTATAGATAAAAATCAACTATCGAAATTGTTTCCATAAAGTGCAAACGACCTTCTGTTTATTCGATTGTAGATTTCAATCAAATGCTTAAGCAACGAAAGTTATCCAAAGCCTTAATTTTATTAAAAGCCAAGTTTAAATTTTGATGACAGGTGATTAGCTTGATAAATATTGTTATAGGAAATTGTTCATTAGCAAATATAGGGGAAGTAAATATAAAAACTTTGCTATCATATTGCAAGTTCATATATCATAAAAGAGAGAAGCTCAGTAAATATTATATAATTCATTTAATTTTACCTCTGAAAGTAATATTTTATTTTAAGATTAATTTTGTATATTATATGAATTTTAAATTCACAAAGAGAAACTAAAACTGCTCATTATTATATAGAAGATCTTAGATAGAAAATTGTATATTAAAATGCAGTGGGGCGTAACGGAGAACATTAAAGCCCCTTGCAAAGTCAAGTTTTGGGCCCCAAGGCCAAATACGTACTTGGAATCAGTTAGGTTTCATGTCCCCTAGAATCCCTGGACCCCTCACCCTCGTAGTGCGGGGGTGTACGTTACACCACTGTTAAAATGATAATGGAAAGTGAAAAATGATTGTATAGCAATTCTCTTTTCAATCCTTTAGGGGTTTTTTTCTTTGTCTTTTACTGCTGTAGATTATAGAACAGGAAATTTCGTAACATCAAAAGAAGAAGCAGTTGTTGTGACACAGTCAAAAATAGTTATTTGAAATGGTACAGACTGATACGCATATATTCTGTAACTTGAGCAAATAAATGGGTACGATTGGAGTTGTGACGTTTGGGAAAATTAATGGTAGCGTGAGAGTTATGAAATCAAAAAATTGATTTATTTACGCATCCACAGTTATTAATTACAGTATTTACATTTTAATAGAAGTTCTTTACATTATTGATTATTTCTATATTGCAGAATA